TCAGGCAATTCTCCTGCCTCAGCCTCCTGAGTGGCTGGGATTACAGGCACGCGCCACCATGCCCAGCTAATTTTTTGTAGTTTTAGTAGAGACGGGGTTTCACCATATTGACCAGGATGGTCTCGATCTCTTGACCTCGTGATCCACCCGCCTCGGCCTCCCAAAGTGCTGGGATTACAGGCTTGAGCCACCGCGCCCGGCCCAAGAGTCTAATTTTAAACTTTAAAACAAATTTGTGACATTTCTCCCAAGCAGTAAGGAGGAAAAGAAACAAAAATGAACTCCATCTTGAATAAAAGGGAGAAATTTCTACATCCCCAAACTACAATCAATAAGCCAGAGAAGCGGGGAGCAGCAGTAACTGATTTAACAGAACCTTGTCATGCTGAGGGGCACCTAACTTACAAGTAATTCATAGCACCATCACTGACAGAAAGACTAAAAATACAAAAACTAAAGGCTTTGAAGGTTTGTGAGCTTAGGGTGGCTACGCCTACTCAGAGATTAGGTTAAGATTGCTGCCTGACCATCTGTTTCTACAGGTGTCTGTTTCTCACCTCAGACATGGAGTAGCCAGCAATCTCCACCACAGTTGCTGAGATCTTCTCAGGGCTCTTCTCCAGGCTACCATACTCCCGCACCAGGCAGCGCACATTCACAGGGTGCAGGAACATGTGCTGCCCATCTTCCGCTGAGGACAAGGGGCTTGATCACACACCAGTCTTGGCCAGCCCCCAGAAAGCCCCTCACCCCTCCCCATGCCCAAAGGCACAAGTCATCCAAGCCCCAGGATCTAGTGAAGATACCTCCTCTGCTTAGAGAGCCAGGTCACCTCTCTGAAACACCTCTGTGACAACCCAATCCTCCTCTGCTCAAGCACCCTCACCTTGGTAAAAGTAGTAACAAGGAGAGCTGCTGAGGTGTGTGAAGCCTGGCTTGGTGATGGGTTCCTGCTGGCTGGACTCAATGCAAATGGTCCCCTCCTTAAGATTGTCATTTGCTAACTCCAAGTCATCACAGGCCCCTGGCAACCCCTCAGCCTCCGGTTCAGACACTACTTCCTCCTCTTCTACTAGAGGGAGAGCAAGAGGTCCAGAAGGAGCGTCCAGAGAACAAACTTTCGTGGTTTCTTCATCGAAGGCAGACAGATACTCCAGCACACCCTGTTGGAGCAAACTCGAGATCAACAGAAAGTATATCTCCTACTTTCCAGAAGTAATGTGGCAAATGTAGGCCTAAGAACCAAGCTCCCCAGGTGTTTATCTTAGCTGTCATGTTCATTGATTTAACGCCCCTGGGGAAAGAACTAGTAACAAGCACACAGAAAATACTTATTGTCCCCTCTTCTTCTGAGAAGGTTTAGATCTCACAGTAATGCCTCATGGCAGCATTTGAGGAATGGCAGCCACTTAGTAACAGGGACACACTAACCTTCCTGGGTTGAAAAACAGACTCCTTCGCCAAGGGAGCCATCAGCACCAGTTGTTCCAGGGCAGACACATCACCAGTGACCTCCCCTCTGCTTCCAGCCAATCCTGACAGAGCCTCTTCCCGAGTCTAACACCGCCAGAGAGAACACCAGAGAAAGTTAAGTTTCCAGAAATATACTTGGCTTGAAGGGCAAGGGCTTAGAATGGCCTCTCAACAGGACCAAAAGTTAAAAGGCAGTGAGACCCAATGGGAAGGAGTTAGGTGCTTAAACATCTTAACTTTGAGGGAAACAAGAAGCAAAAAGTATGCAATATCCACTAAGAATTGCATTCTGCTTAGAATCTGACACTGGGGAGTATAAATCAGTTCAGCCATTGTGGAAGACAGTGTGGTGATTCCTCAAAGACCTAAGATGTAAATACCATTCCACCCAGCAATCCAATTACTGGGTATATACCCAAAGGAATATAAATCATTCTGCTGTAAAGATACAGCCAGGCACAGTGGCTCACGCCTGTAATCCCTGCACTTTGGGAGCCCGAGGTGGGTGGATCCCTTGAGGCCAAGAGTTCCAGACTAGCCTGGGCAACATGGTGAAATTCCGTCTCTACTAAAAATACAAAAATTAGCTAGGCATGGTGGTAAGTGCCTGTAACCCCAGCTACTTGGAAGGCTGAGGCAGGAGAATCGCTTGAACCCAAGAGGCAGAGGTTGTGGTGAGCCAAGATCGTGACACTGCACTCCAGCCTGGTCAAGAGAGGGAGACACCGTCTCAAAAAAATAAAAAATTAAAAATTAACCGGGTGTGACAGCGACTGCCTGTAATCCCGGCTACTTGACAGGCTGTGTCAGGACAATCACTTGAAGCTGGGAGGCGGAGACTGCTGTAAGCCAAGATCGCGCCACTGCACTCCAGCCTGGGCGACAGAACGAAACTCCATCTCAAAAAAAAAAAAAAAAAAATATCATATGCACATGTATGTTCACTGCAGCACCATTCACAATAGCAAAGACATAAAATCAACCTATATGCCCATCAATGATCAACTGGATAAAGAAAATCTGGTGCACATACACCATGGAATAATATGCAGCAATAAAAAGGAATGAGATCATGTCCTTTGCATGGACATGGATGGAGCTGGTAGCCATTATCCTTAGCAAACCACCACAGGAAGAGAAAACCAAATACCGACCAAGTACAGTAACTCAAGCCTGTAAATCCCAGCACTGTGGGGGGCTGAGGGGGGTTGGGTCACTTGAGGCCAGGAGTTCGAGATCAACCTGGCCAACATGGTGAAACCCTGTCTCTACTAAAAATATAAAATAAATTAGCCAGGCATGGTGGTGCATACCATGTAATGTAATCCCAGCTACTCAGGAGGCTGAGGCATGAGAACTGTTTGAACCTGGGAGGCAGAGGTTGCAGTAAGCCAAGACTGCACCACTGCACTCCAGCCTGGGCAAGAGAGCTACGCTGTCTAAAAAGAAAAAAAAAAAGAAAAAGAAAACCAAATATTGCATGTTCTCAATTCTAAGTGGGAGCTAAATGATGAGAACACATGGACACGTAGTGTGGAACACACAATGAGGCCTATCAGAGGGTGGGGAGTGGGAGAAGGGAGGTTCAGGAAAAACAACAAATGGGTACTAGGCTTAATACCTGGGTGAAATAATCTGTATGACACAGGTTTACCTATGTAACAACCTACATTTGTACCCCTGAACTTAAAAGTTAAAAACAGAAAGGAAGAAGAATCTGACACTGAAAACACCATACAAAAGCTTCCAGAAAAAAAAATCTAAGAACCTACTTTTTACAAACTATGCTCAGACAAAGGCCCAGAGCAGTAGGAGGGGTTTAGCTAACCCCACCTCAGCCTGGACAGCTCTAATTCTATGTTGCCTTTCTTATGCCTATAATGCCATTTGGATAAATATGGCAGCGATGTATTATAGAAAGAAAGCAAAAGTTAAATATACAGGACTCTGACCAAAAGAGACCTGGGGAGTCAAAAAGCCAGAAATTCAAATACCCACCACCACACCCAGCTAATTTTTGTATTTTTAGTAGAGACGGGGTTTCACAATGTTGGCCAGTCTTGTCTGGAACTGCTGACCTCGTGATCTGCCCACCTTGGCTTCCCAAAGTGCTGGGATTATAGGCGTGAGCCACCACGCCCAGCCCAAAATTTATCTTAAAATACCTCTAGAATAAAATCTAAGTATTTTCTCAGAAAGCAAAAACCTCTACTTTCCTTTAAGAACCTAGCTTATCTAAAAAACTCCACTGTCACAATTAGTTATAAAATCATTTTGACTTGTTCCTTTTAGCTCTAGAAAGAGCTTTAAAAGCCCTAGGTTAAACCTTCTCTCCCATCACCAAAGCCCAAAACAAATTGGCTTTTTTAGCCATTCTCTGCTTGTCTTAATGTGGAATGTGTGCTTATTGTCTTAATGTGGTCTTAAACGTGGGATGGAAGTAACTTATTCCCAGTGACCATCCACTCACCCACGACAGAGTAAAAAGGTTTAGCATTTCTAGTTTTAACCGGAGACCCCCGACAGTGAAAAGGTTTAGCGTCTCCAATGCATCCTCTTACCTTGAGCTCCTGGATAGCTGCCTCAATAAAGCAGGACTCGGAAGTGTGCTTCTCCTCTGCCAGTTGCTGCTCTAGTGCTACTTTCTCCTCCAGAACTACCCGGTGCAGCACCTGCTCCTTAGTGGCCAGCAGCAACTTAGAGTACTGGCTGTGCTGTTCATCTATAAGAACACCAGCAAGATCAAAGAAATGCAACACTCAAAGCTCACTACAGTGTAGCTAAATAGGAACTTTCAAATACAGCTTTTTCTCTGGGGGTGAAAATGGGTAATTTAGCATAATTTCCTAGAAAATAATATAACAATGGTCTTAAAATAAGGTCCATAGCTCTGCTCTTAATACAGGAAACAAGAAAACCAGAGATGCAATCAAGACTTTAGTCACACAATGTTTATTAATTACAGCATTGTATGTAATACCCAAAACCCTCAAACTGGAAGGGAACGGTGGCTCACACCTGTAATCCCAGCTAATTTTTTGCATTTTTACTAGAGACAGGGTTTAACCACGTTAGCCAGGATGGTATTTTTACGTCTAGCAGAGAGGAAGTCTTGCTATGTTGCTAGGCTGGTCTTGAACTTCTAAACTCAAGCGATCTTCCTATCTCAGCCTCCAAAAGTACTGGGATTACAAGCGTGAGCCACTGCGCTGAGCCATCATTTATTTACTTACTTACTTTTTTATTTTTTTCAGATGCAGTCTTGCTCTGTCACCCAGGCTGAGTGCAGTGGCATAATCTCAGCTCATTGCAACCTCCACCTCCCAGGTTTAAGCCATTCTCCTGCCTCAGCCTCCTGAGTAGCTGGGATTACAGGCATCTGCCACCATGCCCAGCTAATTTTTGTATTTTTAGTAGAGATGGGGTTTCACCATGTTGGCCAGGCTGGTCTCGAACTCCTGACCACAGGTGATC